CAGCAGGAAGAGTAGATAAGTATGAGTAGATAAAAGGCTTAAAGAACCAAGACCGTAGTAGGTAACAGTCTACCACTTTGTTAGGGTTTTGATGCAAAGCAGTAGCACATTTTTGAAGAGAGTGCCCCCACTTACTGTGGAGTGATTTTGCTATGCATGAGCTAGATTTCCTTTGGAGGAAACTAAACCAAAACCTCCATTCCAGGTGTGCACCAAATGTGCTCCTGGCCCGAAGGTATACATAAGAATCAGTCACTGGGTTTGACTCTCCTAGCAGCTTCAAACATTTAGGTTAGGTCCAGGAGACCAGCCTAGGTACAGCCTGAAGCAGCAGTCCTGAACAACATACAATATAGCTGGGAAGGCTCAGCACAGGCTACTTTGATATTCTGGTCTTGCTGTGCCATCTTACTTGCTATAGTGGCTGTGACCACTGATATCTAAAGAATGTTAGATTAGTGTTTTGGCAGTGTGTCTTTTGGTGGGATTAGAAGTGGTTTCTGGAGTTTTTCAGAACTAGGCTTGTGAATGCTACAGCTATCAAAAATGGGAACTCTTTATTAGTGACTTGCAGATGGAGTCAGTGTTGGGAATGCCTTCACACAGTGTAACTTTAAGGAGGGGCTGTTTTCCATAGAACTTACTCTGTTCTTTTTCAAATACGAATTCTTCTCCACTTAAGGAATTGACCAACTGGAAATCTCAGTACAACAGCAGGTGAAGTATTTCTAAGAACTTTAAGAGATTTCAGTTTATATTTGCTAGAGGGTTTAGGATGACCTTTCTTGGCTTTGAATCAAGAGTCTTAAGGTATATAAAAGATACAAATTCTAGGTGGAAACTCATATTAATAGCGTTTGGAGTGCCTGAATCAACAATGTGTTTCATATTCTTTCATTTGGAAAAGCATGGAACCTTAACTAAAGCATTTCATGTATCACATCCACCCCAGTGGAAATGAAATTTCACAGAAGTGGAATGAGAAAGTATCTTATTTTCATCCTTCTGTTAGAACTGTGAGTGCTCACAAAGTCAGTGGTGTTAGTTATCTGTCAATATCATGTTGTCTTCTTCATATTTTAATTTAAAAGTGTTAGTTTATAACTGTAGCAGCTTGAAACTTTATCAGTTTAAATTATGTAGAAAACATTGATTTTTAAGTTCATTATACTTTAATCCCACTTGCCAGAGAATATTTCATGCTTTTTGCTTATGAATGAATCCTTTGACCTTTCTGTATACTATACTGCTACAACTGCCGAATATTACAAGCATTATAAAATAGCAATTATATAAAGGTTGACATTTCGTAATAAAAGAAATGTCATAATTTCATAATAAAAGAAAATAAAATCAAGTTTCTTGAGGGACTTGTGGCATGTAACTTGTATAAAGCAACATTTTAGAAAACTGAATGGGGAAGCTGTAAGTAATTTTTCCATGCTATGTTCATACGTACATAGGAACTATGTTAAAAATTAGTTGGCAGAATTCTAGTAGCTATAATGTTATTCATTAGCTCTTGTTAAAAACAAAAAACCAGTAGAAAAAAATGACAAAAACACAACTATCTGCTAGAAATAAACTTCAAAAATACCTACAGAATATTTGTTAGAATGCATAAATAAATCAGAATTAAATTAAACATATTCCTATATAAAATTAAGTAGTTTGAATTGAATGCTGAACAGCTAAACAAGCGAGTCTTCAAAAAGGATGGAAACTGCATTCCGTTCTTCTCAGTTTAGCTACTTTGGACTTTTTGGAGAATGACAGAGGCTTTAGTCTTGCCAAAGAACTTTTGCATAAATTGGTAGGTTTGATGAAAGATAGCTTAAACAAAATAAAGGCATGATACTAGTTATTAGTTTGGATTACTGGTCAATTTTTGCCACATAACATGCAAGCCGAAGAAACATTGGTATTTGACCAGAGAGAAGATTGAAAGCACATATGAGCTTATAGTGGTGAACACAACTGCAAAATCAGTGTCTAATTTAAGGCTGTTTGATATAATCACCAGCACTTATCTGTACTGGCATGTCACTGCCTTTTTCTTTCTTTCTTTCTTCTTTTCAAACCAGTAGAACTCAACCTGGTTCTTTACAACTTTTCCAGTAATAAGAGAAGAAAACCCAACTGATAATCCAAAACTACCTGAGTGAAAGTTCTTACAGCACAGGAGATACGAGAAAGCAAGAGAAAAAATGTTTCTTAAAGTTCTCATAATTATGCTAGGACAGAAATAGCCTAGCTCAGAACCTAGAGATTTCTTCTGTAGCCACCTGCCAAAACACGCAATTCCCCCTTTCTCATAAACTAAGCCAGCCACTTTGCATGCAGGATGAACTGAATGTCTGAATATCCTTTACAGCAACTTTTAAGGCTCTGACTTCTGGAGTCACTGCCTTGAGAACATAATTTATGTATTACAGAAGTTTTATAGTTATGAAGTTCAAAATTTGAAATGCTCTTTGAGTGCATGACAGAATAGCATGTAACCTGAAATGCTAGCTGTAAGAAGGATAAACTACTTGTGGCTTTTCCCCATCTCCTAGGGTGTATTTGCCTGGGTGTATACCCAGCTGGGTGGAACATTTTAATGAGTGCCCCAATGTTACTTTCAGTCTTTTTTTTTTTTTTTCCAGGTCATACAGGCAGATAGCTCATGTGCAGAGGGGCAGTGCCCATGAGGAGTAAAGCTACTAATAATTTAAAAGCACCCTGAAATAAAATCAGAACGAAATGTTTTTCTGTAATCTTCATTCTAATTTCTGTTAATAAAATTAGTGTACAAGTCCATCTTTGTAGAGAAGAATGAGTATGTTGTATAGGGTGAACTAGTGAAAATACACATTCTTTAGGAGAAGATTTCAAGAATATGAGCACAGACTGGAAAACTCCAGCTTTTAAACCTTTAAGAAACCATGCCAAACCAAAAAATCCAAGTCACCTGTGGCTTGAAGTTCGCATGTGCCAAACTACTTCTTCTGTCTAGAAATATTGTGAACCATTATTTGAAATGATGTCCTGAGAGCCTGTGCTTGGTGGGATTGTGTTTACCTGAGAAACTTACACCAGCCTAAGAAGTGCCTTCTGTGTGCTTGGTTTTTGCTTTTGCCTGCCAAGGGAACTGGGAGTACTTGTGCTGCAGTATAGTAATAGGAGGAGGATCTTGGGTATGGGAACTGTCTGGCTCTAAATATTTGTACTTACTCCTTTGCAAGCTTCATCTGACCACTTAGTAATGTACTTGTAAGTCTTTAAGATCACTCTTATTTTGTGTAA